TAAAAAGTTTGACATACAGTATGTAAGAAAAATGTTAAGAAACACTGGTATAACGAGTCTACCTCCTTGTTGAGGACACAGTGGACAATGTAGAGAAAAGTACCCTGCTGGGAGTTCAGAACTATAAAAGCAACCTGAAAGAACAGGTTTGTCTGGTACAGGCCAAGAATCCAGGTACAGCCAAGTATAACAAACTGGGCCAATATCTTGAACAAAATCAACCTGCAAACAGAACAACAGAAGGTTTTTACAGTTCTTTACAAAACATTGGAGCAGGATGTTAAATAAAAAAAAGTCAGTATGCTAAATGAATTAATTTCTCTACTGTAACTGCACTTATAATCAAACAGGAAGACATATTTAGTCTCTAGAGATGAACTGATTGTCTGGCAAGGGAAAGGTATCTCCCGATTTCCAGTCCTCTCTGGTCCAGAAGGGGGACTGGCTGGTCGGCGTCTTGCGCATGCATTTCGTGAGCAAATTGTTACAAACTACTATTTCTACACACTCACAGTGCACAAATAAAAAACGATTTACTTGCACATGGAAACGCATGCAAATAGTTGTGCGCACACTCACAGGCGCATGCCAACAAGTTGTCAGCATGGAAACTCCCCACCACGAGTGAAGACACAAAGTTCGCCAAAGTAAACGACCACAGAAAATGTTTGTTATAACAAACCTGATCAAACACTTAATTCTGTACTTTTTAAAAATTAGCCAACAAGTGAAAAGTGAGTCAAACTATTCAGAGATCAGAACCAACCACAAGTAAGAGAGTCAGGCAAGAGCTGTGAAAGGAAAATTACAGACAGGTGAGAAAAAAGGGAAAAGGGTTGATGTCCTCTCATCTGGGGAATTCATAAGTTTGCAGGAAAATGATGCAAGTGTCTGATATAAAGGTGGGTATACAGCAGCTCATTTCTATTCAATTATTAGCATGCTTGAAAGAGAAAAACTCAGTTTATTTATTTATTTTTTATTATGCAAATAATATTTTACATTGAAAAAAGTTGATTTTTCTTTCTATATAATGTCAATTGTAGTTGAAATAGGGAAAAATCTGTGTTGTCATTTAGCAAATAATCAGAATCATAATGGAAATTGCAATTAGTCTGGAGTCGCTACTAAGTGACATTTTTTTTTAAAAAGCTGCACAAAAATCATAATGATTACTCAGAATTTGAACTTGCTTTTTAAATAAACCTCAAACTTACTTTGTATCTTTGGACTGAGAGATATCACTTTTTATGTTAGCCAAGGTGGGCCGCAGACTCCATAAAGTTGCACCAAACAGGTAGCAATTAATCTGATAAAATAATCAGATTTATAATTTAATTTTGAGACAAATGATCATTTTAAGAAAAAAAAAATGTAATGTGTAATACAGTTCTAACACAAAAATAGACACACAGCAAGGATCGCTATCACTGGCCCTGTTAAAGCCCATTTGAAGTTTCGTTTTTCTGACAGCCAGCATCTGCAATTCAAACACACATTAGAGACCATTATCCAGTCTTGTACATTTAGTAATAAAAGGATTTAATGCATAAATCGGTGCATTGCACTGTGTCTGACTTACACATTAGCCTCAGTACGTCCATATCCACCAGAATACATCAGTGCAGAAACACCGACAATCACAAATGGAACACCATAGCCAATCAGATAGAGAAGAGGCCTGGGGAGGCCATCTCGTCGGATGACTTGCACCTGGGAGAGCTTCCGTACCAACAAGTGGAGCTGTAGTGCCTCCAGCAACATCCACACAAAACTGGCAACAATTAAGAAGTGGAGAAGGCCTGCCATGACAGTGCAGGCCAGCTGTAGAGACAGATAAATGAATTTAAGCTTTATGGACAATTGGAACACAATAAAGAAATCCTTTAATAATTCTTGTAGTTTAGCCACATTGTACCTCATTATCAGTGTATTTGTCATTCCACAACAAGAGCAGTTGTGAAAAAAACAGGTTGAGGCAGAGGTGGAGACGGGCTGTGTTGTTAATTTTGGGATTCCAGCTGCACAGAAGGAAGGTAAAGATGGCCAAAGCCAAGAAGAATAGTCCAATAATCACACATATCCGGTTCAGCCACTCTAAGAAGTCATTCTGTGGCGCAGGCTGAAAATGAGACACATGGATACTGATGAAAATGGATGTAAATTTGGCTATAACTGTGCTTGACTTATTGGCTTATTGAAATGCTTTAAAGCTGACAAATGTCTAAGATCCAGGTGATCCATTTCAGACTTATTCCAAGTTAAAGATTTTTTAAGAGCAATTTTTGTTGAGATATCATCTGAATTTCAGGAGCGGGACCACTCCCCCTTCACGCCCCCTCTGGCCTCAGGCTATAAAAGCCCCCCTTCTCCAATACCCGCTGTTCTCATTTTCATACCCCACCCCCTTTTTTCTTTCCTCTCTTCCTTTCCTCCCTTTATTTCTCGTTAGTACAGGGGGTTCTGCCCAGCCCGAGAGCTGTTGCCAGTCCCCTTCAAGGCCTTCCCCAAACCGCAGCACTAATCACACTCCTTCATCCCTCATTGCTCATCGTTACCAAGGGAGTGGTCCCTGCTAGTGAAATGTTGTGTCTCTTTCTAATTCTGCATATGCCAAGAAGTGTGGGATAAACTGTCTAAAACTGGGTATGTAAAGTGTACTATACTTGTTGACAAAGCAGTTTGACAGAATACCGAATTAAAGTTCTATAGAAAATTTTGACTGATTACAAAAAATGTAAAAAGGGATTTAACCGCTTATATACACTGCATGTTTCCATTTGTCAAATTGTGGGGTTTTAATCAAATCTGAAAAATGTACAAGTACTGACATACCTCCCCAATCTGCATTATGAGAGCAAAGGTAGAAAGGTGTGAGCAGCTACAAACAGTGTAGTTTTTGTGAGAGTATGCAACCCAGCAACCCTCTTCTGACCAACGCATCGTCTCTCCATTTTGTCCACCTTCGGCTTCCCCGGCTTCCCAGTACACACAAGTGACCATTCCATTTTCTGGTACTTCCTAAAAAAAAAAAAAAAATAAGCAAAGGTAAGAATAAAAAGTCTGATTCTTTTTCAATACATTCAGTGGTGTGAAAAGTGTTTGCCCCCTTCCTGATTTCCTGGTGTCTTGCATATTAAACACAAATGTTAATATTGGACAAAGAGAGAAAGACATCATACCACGATCTAAAGAAACAACGGAGAAACAAAGTCACTGATAGCTATGAGTCTGGAAAGCTTCCTGGCTTCCTCCTGGAGTGACTGGGCTACCAAAATTACTCCAAAGCACATTCACAACTCATCCAGGACGTCACAAAAGAACCCAGAACAACAATAAAGAACTGCAAGCTTCACATGTCTCAGTTAAGGTCAGAGTTCATGCTTCAAGAATAAGAAAGAGACTCAGCAAAAATGTCATCCACAGAAGAGTAAAACAGTTCTGACCAAAAGGCTCATCTCACCAAAGACGAGTGGGCCAAAATTCCTCCATGGAGCTGTAAAAGACTCATTGCCACGTATTGCAACACTTGACTACAGTTGTTGCTGTTAAGGTTGACCCAGCCAGTTATTAGGGTTAGGGGGCAATTACTTTTTTTTCCTTAATGACAAACACCTACACTTAGACACTGCATTTTGAGTTTACTTGCATTATCTTTGTCTATTATTTACATTTGTTTGATGATCTGAAACATTTAAGTGACAAACATACTAAAAATCCAGGAAAACAGGAAGGGGGCAAACATTTTTTCACAACACTCTATATGTACAATCTTGATGCTACACCTTGTGTTGAATTGTAAAGTTGACAGGCTCTGTCAGGTTGGTGGTGTTTATTCCTGGTATTATGGCAGTTAAAACATCTGAGTACATCTCTGTCACATCCTTGGTTTTGAAGTATTGATGACTGAGAATGCTCTCCATCCCATCTAGCGTCAGAAAGGCGGCTGATATAGAACCTGGAAGTGGTCACATCACAAAAAAAAAAAAAAAAAAAAAAAACACTCATCTTGATGCACCTGTGTCAGTCATCATTTTTAAAAAAAAAGCTCTTACCATTGTTGGCCCTGGCTAGATCCTCCAAGTTGATTTTCATTTCATATTCCTTGGCAGAGAGGGATGAACTCTTGCTATCATGGCTCAATGAACCAATGGCCACTAGACTCAAATCTTGAACACAGATATGCATTAATTATGTTTGCATTTACTAAGAACTCAAATTTGACCTGTTAGCGTAAAGTTGAGCTTGGTCTTACCCACTGTTGAAGTGTGCACTTCCTTTTTTATTTTCGTCTCAGTCGACGGAGTCATTGCAACAACAAGCTGCTCTGAGAGGCCAAGAATAACACTACCAGTCTCCCCGTCTCCTTCACTGCTCACCTTACTTGTGCTGGTAAGTGTTCCAACACCTGAAACCATCTACAGAAGACTTGAGTTATTGTAATCAACAAATAAACAAGCAAATGAAATGAATAAACTGGAAATATAAAGCTATGACTCTGTTTGCTTTTCAGTACCATAGATGTAGAAAAGCAGTTTGCAACTGTCTGCAAAGATGTCAAGAACGGAGAAAATTGTGTTAGATGAAAAATAACTGCTGTGTTTTCTGTGCATCACGTTACATCCTATTTGTTGTGTAGCATTTACAAGTTAATGTTTTTAACTACGTACCACATTGGGTAAAAGGACACCTGTATTGTTCTTCAGATCTTCACCAAGGTTATCAAGGAAAACTCTCTCTTTTGTCTTATTCTGAAATTAATAGCATAGCATAGCATAGCATCTTTATGTTTGGGTTTAGTTTATGTTTGCTACACGATTGCATCTTTAAAAAACAGGGATTTAAGTTTTGTATAACTGTCTAATTACAGTCGAATGTTTTACTGTGAAAAAGTGATCTTTCATGAAAAAATCATGAAACATTATTATTAATGAACTTTGTTATGCATTAAAAAGTTAGCCAGTTAGCCTCTAAAACATAAAGCACCACGAGTCTTACCTTATGGGGTTTGATTTCATCTAGAATGTCTTCAAGGCCTGTCAGTAAATTTAAAAAATACATTTAAATTCTAAACACTTTTGAAAATCTAAAATGTCTTTGATGTTAGCTTTGCTCACTTTTACAAAAAGTGATGCCCGCCTTCCAAATTACACCAGTTGATGGGTAGAATCCATCAGGGCAGGAGCAATAGAAGGTGCCTGGTGCATTAGTACACACAGTTTGGTTACCACACAGTCCAGGGGTTTCACTGCACTCATCTATATCTAAAGCGGTGAGAGAAACACAAGGGGCTGTTTTTCTTGCTTGTTTGTTTTTTGGAAATTATATATTGATTTGCTTTTGGAAACAAAAGAGCATAGAAATAGCACATACCATTGCATGGGTTAGCAATGCTGGCTATAACATGTGGATTGTCCACTCGATAACCACTAAGGCAGGTACAGTTGTAAGATCCAATTAAATTTGTGCAGTTACAGTTTGCTCCACAGATGTTCAACACATGGTCAGCACACTCATCAATATCTG